CCCAAACCTCAAACGTGGTTTAGAGACTTCTGCCGTGCAGACTTCTCAGGGGTGCGCATCTTTCTTGAACAAGTCACACTGGGACCAGCTCCATTGGAAGAACTATATAGCACCATTGTCCAGAATGTTCATGAGGCTGATGCGACGTTCATCCCGAAGAAACCAGCACGCACTCGGATGGACCGCAGGCCGCCAAAAAGGATTCGGCGACCTCTGGAAAAACGATCCCAACTCTTTTTCAAAAAGTTGACTACAGGGGATACAGATGAGCTGGCGGGACAGCTGTAAATCGGAAATCCGCCAATGGAACATACGAGAACAAGCCACCATCCTGGACCCCGCTCGAAAAAACAAAAACGTCTTGTTCAAATACATGAGACATCGCCGCAGAAACAAGCCATCCGCGTTCTCCTTGAGGGACATAAACGGAGAACCGACAAGTGACCCAAAATTGGCATCTGAGGTTTACAGAGAACACTATGCGTGTCCATACTCAGCCCCAGCGTCTTCGTCAAATCCACTCTTGTCAAGGCGGAACTACGAACGGCCTCTAGCCGACTTGGTCTTCACGGTGGAGGACATTCGTCAACTCTTTCACAAGATCAACCCATTCTGTGCGTTGGGACATGACGAGGTTCATCCAAAGATCCTGGAAGAAACGTCCTCCACACTGGCAAATAATCTACACCTAGTGTTTCGCCAGTCGCTTGACGAAGGCCGCCATCCCTCTGCTTGGAAGGTAGCAATTGCCACACCAATCTACAAAACTGGTGACCGACTGTCGCCTGGCAGCTACAGGCCTATAAGTTTCACTAGCGTGCCACGTAGGGTGATCGAACGCATTCTGAAGCGAGCTGTCCTAGACCAACTTACTTCCAGCCCAACATGGATTTCTCCCAAACCACTCTTGCGTGACAAACATGCTCGTGTTTATGGACAGCTTAACCCAAGCTAAGGACGAAGGACTTGTCATGCATGGTGGGAGAGGACCAGAAATCATTATGAGAATTGACAGCAAAAAAGGATTCGGGTATCTGGGTCTCCTCAAAATCGTCTTTCTCAATGCACCATAGGGAACCGGCCCTGAAAGCATTCGCCATTTTACGGATGATCCGATGCACCTTCTCCCGTATTAGTCGCATGGACTTCCAAATACTCTATGGGGCTTACGTCAGACCGCTCATGGAATACGCCAACCAGGTTGTCTACTCGGGGCGCACGAGAGACGTCACCTCATTGAACGTGTCCAGCGAGTCGGCCTCAAATCTGTGGACTACAAAACGCGTCTAGCGATGCTTGATCTCTTTTCCCTGGAGTACCGTCGCTTCCGAGGGGACCTAATTCTTACTTATGCCCTGTTTGAACAAAGCTTGGCAAACAGAATTTTTACCGTTGAACCAGCAAACACCCGGCGGGGACATAGTAGGAAAAGTTTCAAGCTCAGAGCACGCACATCCATCAGACAAATTTTTTTCTCATTTCGGGTAGTAGCCGCGTGGAATGACCTTCCTCCTGCGGTTGCTCACGCCCCTTCTAGAACCCAGTTTAAAGCACTATTAGACACTTATGTATGCGAATCCTCGCGCTGGCAAGCATACTGCCCCGCGCTGAGAACATAAAGAGCAGTGCTACACCCTTTTTCAATTGTGCCTTTCAGGTGAACGACTGACAATGACCGACAAGAACAAAGGCGACCCGGGAATCTTGGGCAATAGCCTCGACCCTGTGTATCAATCCGTGAATCCGTGAATGTGATTGGTCGAAAGAATGGGTCGCTTGCAGTCCCTAACGCAGACCTAACTAACGCGAGTTACGTTCGGGGTTGACTGCGTTTTTCCCTCGTACGGATCTGTGAAAGAATTCTTTCGCTGTTAAATCTGTTTACAGAGTTTACACGTGTAATTTTATTGATTTTTGCCCATCTAACATAACCTTCGCGTGATAACGTCTGCCAGTTTGCACTCGTTTCCTGGGGTGAACCCAGTCTAAATCAATACAGCCTGCTCTCTACAGCCGTCAATGAACCACAACAGATGTGGGCGAAATGGGTGTTCATCGAATGTAAGACATGGTATGCAGTGTCACACCTACAAGGCCTGGTGGTACGGGTCTACAGGACTACCGGATAAGCCAACTAACGAACTCTCCTGACCCGTTTATCTGCGCCAGCTGTCTCTACCGTAAGGGTGCAATGCATTTCGTAACTAGAAAGAGAAACCAAGTCCCCACTGCGGGTGTTCTGCTTTAATCAGGATACTCGACACAAAACTGGAGCTTCTTTCTAAAGCTCTCGAGGACACTAACACACAGAACACAGCGACCTGTACGAATGTCGATAATGCACTTTCTTCCCTGAACGAGTACCGAGGCTACCTACCCTGGTCTCTTTGGCTGCCAAGGTCATCCGGCTCTGATGCGGCAATAAAGACCGCAGCGTCTCTAGTAGATAGGTGCATGAGGAACAGCAGACTAATCACCTGGGGGTCGTTCTCCAGAAAAATCACGCCAATGAAGCGGACAGTCGCTCGTTGGTAGTGTACCCACAAAGCTTGACCACGAATCGCTTCACTCGGATTGGTTAGGCCAGAGGGGAAGCAAACGAACGCTTGGGCTTTTATTAACTCTTTCCTCTCCATTCGCCCTACAGAGGATCTTGTAGCGGACTGTCAGCGTTCAGAGGGCCTAACCAACAAGGAGGATCGCCCTCTAGAGGTGCGAAAGCTGGGCCACAGCAGTTCTATGGTTGAAGTGCGAAACAGGCTTCCGCTTGGCGCCAACAGACACCAAAATTATGGCTAGATCGATGGTATTTATAGCCCCTTGTGCCCCTGAAAGCGCGCCGATGCAACCTGCTGCGACTCCGGATTGCGATTTCTACTTAACCACCGCAGACCCTTCAACCACCAAAGGCAGCGATGCTCGGGAGAAGACAAGCCTCTCATGGACGGAGCGCCTAGACTACATAACGCTATCATCGCTTACTTCCGTAACAGACGATGAAGGCGCAGCAGTGCACTCCACACCCAAGTCACAACTTCTGAACTAGACCGAGTCAGACGTACGGAGACAAGCGGTGGAGTCTATCGACAAATCAAGCACGAGCATTAACCTCAAAATCTGGGAATGCTGCGAGAATCCTACAACCAGCTCCACTCCTTCAAAAGTGGCCCATTCGATTGTGGACACATTCGTCGCCAGAACCCCGACAGCCAAAACTACAAACATCAATTCTGAAAATCCTTCCCACACCTAGCTGGTCGCGCGGATCGTGGGCGACTCGGGAGTCCACACAAACACAAAACACAGGCGACTACAGTCGGACAAACCTCATAAGATCCACCAAATCAGAAAGCTGCTGGCTAGCTTCAACGTACGGTCCTCTTCGAAAACCGGCCTCATGGGAGCGCCACCAAAAGGATTACCTCTTAGTGCTGCCACCCAACGCTCAGGGACTCACAGAGACTCATTCACCTGATCTGTCACACTAGAATCAGAACTAACACAACTTCCAAGATAAGTAAGACGCTCCTCAACTTCCAGTACCTCCCTGGGTTTTAAGTGGCGCGTTCAGTGACTGCACCTCCACAAGCATGAGGTTACATTTTGTAGGTGCAGAGTGCATACCAAAGGAAGGGATGACTTTGGTCAGTTCATCCCCGGAGCCACTTAACAGTTTGACTCATACGACCGCTGGAGCCTTGCCTAAACCAATGGCCCAAGGAGTAAGCACAACCATCTGACCCCTCATGTGACCGCGAACTGCAGGTGCCTCCTTAGCAGCATCAGAATCTTTAGTTTCTAACAATGCGCTGACCGGCAGTCACGTTTAGCCGGTATGTGGTTGGAGTGGATGATCTTTTCTACACCGTCCTTTATTGGGGAAGGCAGCACCACTTTTCATGAGTATGTACGTGCTGGTTGTCTGGAGGAAGCCATTTGCTGTCTTCAGATTCTCATCGGAGAGGAAAGTACGCCTCAACCGCCAGACCGCCTCGTATTATGACCACACTTAACACGGAGGCTTACTGCTCTTCGATAGCCGCGCCTGAATCTTCGTGGAACAATTGAAGCTTGATGAACGAATTTCAAGCCAGGTTCGTGCGCGAGATCACTGACACGCAATATGGCTACCACGTTAAGCTATCAGCTATTCATCGGGTCATTGACACCAGTAAATCAGCGATGAACACTGGCGTTCAACTGGCATATAACCATTAAGAGGATTGCCTAGTAAGGAATGAGAAGAACGGAAAGGGCCTGAACTTATTACGGAAAAAACTGTCCCCATAGAAGCCGATCAGGATGAAGGCACCTATGCCTTGGAATATCAACGAGATAAACGCATGTAAACATCATACCGGAATAGTATGCCATCGTTAGATTTACGCAACGCATTTTGCGAAACTCACTCAACACCAGCTCATTTTACAATCTCAAAACAAGCGTTAGCTAGGTAGTGCATTTGGGGAGTGAAAGCGCGCCCACCATTAGTTACGTGCTGTTTCGTTGTGCAAGAAGAGTCACGCCGACCCAGCTAGAAAGGCGCGAAGATCCCACAGCACTCAATTTGATGTTGTTCACCATCATCTCTGGTTACCAGTTATTGACCTGTCTCTCACAAACCTTTCACCAACAAGAGTTTACAGTTGAAAACAGCGCCTTCTCTATCGTGCGTAGTACATGTCCCAACTGTATTAACCTGGTGAGTTTCAATTGCCGCTCTAGTAATTGTGATTCATCACCATGTGTTCGCTTACACTGGCTGTAGTGAAAAATACGAGTGATATCATTTTATCGCGTAGTCCACCCCTTTGTGAGGTAAACCAAGCTAATTTCTTTTGAATTGCGGTACTTTCGCTGCTGATTTTCCTACGATGCGTGTGTACTGTTATTCGTACCAGAGTTCTGATTTACGCTACTGCACCTCAGTGAGTGTTGCGCTTTGTCATCTCACCTTCGTCATCTTCATCGGTGCCTTTCAGAATCGATGCTGCTCGTCCGCATAATTCTGGTTTTGTGCTCCATCCTGCTGCTCACTTGAATGTTCACACTTCAAGCATAATGTCGACCAAGCGCCGTTTTGCTAAACATATTCTCCCCAATGTATATAATTTTCGCAACAAGGAAACGGATGGCAATAAAACAGATCTATCTTACACCGGATTTGGAGTAAGTGGTGCTGCCCAATTCTATGTATTCCATGTAGTGGGGCTCGTGCATTCCCGAACCAATAGATTATGAACACTACGTGTCGAACCGTAAAAATTCAATCATCAACGACCCACACCGTGAGCTGATCTTGTTCCCCGTCGACGACTTGCGAGTAAGTTTACCCATCAGCAAGAACACTGTTTGGAAATAACACTTTTGTCTGATGAATACGAGTCATTCTCAGTAACTTTGTCATCCGGTCTTCTGACAGAGGCCGGTTGGAATTATGATAGACAACTGGGAGAATTTACGTGTTATGCCTGAATTATGGAACCTCTAGGTTGTGTGTCCATCGATCAGACAGCACCCAATGAAAAAGACAAGATGTTTTGATTAAACATATACCAGAGGAAGATGACTAACGTGATGATTCGGGGTGCAAATTGGGTGAAAAAAGGCACCACAGTCCAAATGAGCAACAATATCAAGCAGACAAGAGAATGTTATTTTGAGGTAATCAGTATAGAGGTATTCTTTTGGAGGCATCCCTCCTTACAATTTTATTTTTAATTGTCTTTCCTTTCGATATTTTGTTAACGTATGGAAATCTTCTTGACTGCCTTCTTTGGCGTAACAGGTACTTTCACAGCAGCCATAGTGGCATGCTCGAATGTTCACCCTATGTTTGGTTACGTCACTAGCCTCTAAAATAATTTGATTCGTCAGCTTGACTGATTTCGTTGACTGTCTTGCGCCCAACTACAGCTCATCCGACTGCCCAACACGCACCGAGTCTCCGATGCAGGTGTTCCTCCAGATGCGTTGAGACCAGACGCACTTATCAGCAGTCCATTAGGTCGGCATACCATCGCATTTCTGGCCAATAACGAATGGATCTATGTGCATCAGCCTTCGGCGCTTTACCGCGGACAATGGTGGCAACTACCTCGAGACAGGTTGGTTATCGGTGTTTGTGCATATTGTGGCAGCAGTTGCATCACCTAAATAGGTCCTATGCGTAATTTCCAAACTGATATGTTTGCTCCTATCTGGACCTGGGCAACACGACAATATCTCATTATCATCATCATCATAACTACCTCGAGGTTGGTTATCGGTGTTTGTGCATATTGTGGCAGCAGTTGCATCACCTAAATAGGTCCTATGCGTAATTTCCAAACTGACTGATTTGCTCCTATCTGGACCTGGGCAACACGACAATATCTCATTATCATCATCATCATTGTCAGCTGTAATAACCGCGTACTCGTCCTACAGTGGTTGTAGCTGCCGCAGTTTCGTTCGCCGATGTTTTTCTGGGGGGAGATAGGTACAGTGGGCTGTCAAGTGGGGGGGGTTGGAAAAGGAGCTATGCATTGAAGGCAATAGCTTGGATGCACGAGCGCCATTGAGGGCGCGACTGGGCCATATCTGACAATGTCTCTAGCCATTGATGTGGCCCGTCTCGGGG